CATGGGGGCCCCCATGCACAACCCCCCTCAGCCCTGTGGACTTTGGTCTTCCTGGTGCCATTCACGCTGCCATGGAGGGCCCTCTACCACTTCTAGACTCCATCGCCTCGTCCGTCTCTTCTACCCAAGGTTCACCTACCTCTTAGGACATCCCCAAGTGTGAAGGTCTCCTGGAGAGGACCTTGTCCATCCAACGATGTGTGTTCGATCTGGCAGATCAGCTGAGACTTCATGTCTCCTTGCTCCAGCTGGATGTTCACCGTGCTCTCCGCTCGGTACGAGATGCTCTGCTTTTCATTCGAATTCAGGATTTCGGCTGGTATTTTTTTCCCATCCTTCAACCAGCTGACCGTGATCTCTTGGGGGAAGAATCCCCCTGTGGAGCAGCTGAAGGAGGCCCGAGACCCCGCCGTGATTCTTCCTGTGGGGCCAATAATCACAGGCTGGGATGGCATGGCTGAAGGAGAAAGTAGAGAGAGAGACATCAGTTGACGTTCCTCAGAGATGATACAGGAGGCCCAAAGATGGTGTTTGGTCGGAGAGACTCAACGTTGAATATGGGATTTACTCCCACGTGTCTAGGGGTGGGATTCAAATTTTTTTAGCAACCGGTTCTCTGCCCGGTTGCTGGGTGGGTGTGTCCATGGTGGGTGTGGCCTACTAAGTCTCCTGCACCATGAGGGGGGCATTTTCTCCCTTCCCAGGTTGAAGAGGCTTTTCTTGAGCACCCAAGAGGCCTCTCCCTAGGCTGGAAATGGACTTGTTTCTGGACTTCCAGAACTTCCAGGAAACCCATTTTTTGCCCTCCCAGAGATTCTGTGCGGACCCTGCACTTACTGGCATCCAAAATGGGTCATGTGGAGACTCCTGGGAAGGTCTGGGTGGGATGGGTGGGGCCGGACACTCCTTGCAACTACCGGTTCGGCAAACCAGATGTTAAAATTAACATCTGGTTCACCTGGACCAGTCCGTACTGACTGAATCCCATCCCTGCACGTGTCTCATGGTTGACTGGGAACACCTCCCTCCATCCCCAGAAATCAAATGCAGAGGGTCACCTACCGATCACGGAGACCAAAGTGCCATTCCCTAAAGCCAGCACGCTCTCTTGGAGCCCAGCCTTCACCTTCCCACAATAGTAAGTCCCGGCATCTTCAGGACGGACATTTTGGATCTTGATGCTGAAGTCCGTATTGGATCCTGGTATCACCCTCACCCCCTGATTGGAAGTTCCTTGTTTATCACTGTAAACAGGCTGGTTTCTGTCCGTCCCTTTGTACCACCGCACGCCTCCAGGTAAATTTCCTCCAGCCACTGTACACTTTAGGGTGATGGTCTCTCCTGCTTTCACCGATATGGATTCTGGAAGTTGGGCTACCTCTACGTTCTGTCCTGTAACAACTGAAACAAAAAAGAGACACTTTTGTAACTGGGTTTCCTCTAGAAAGTGGTCATCCTTCTTCTAGAGACAGTCAACCATGGGTGGATGCTCCTTCCACGTCTACGATTTTTTACACAAATCTCCCAATCCAAAGAGCAACTTAACAGTAAAGTTGAAAGTGGTCATCAATCTTCTCGGCACAAAAGACCACTGGGGGTATCCTTTGAGCATCAGAATTAGGATGAGTAATTTTTTAACGTTGTTTTTTATGTTTAAAAATAAAAAAAGATATATTGGGAAAAAATAGAGAATTATTTGAATTTCCTGAATGCAAACCTTCTGGCGTATGATCTGACCATTCTTGAATGACCGCCATGCAGAGGGCTCATTTATAAGGTGGGGGAGTTTTTTAAGTTTTTTTTTTAAGTTTCACTTTATTTGTNACACACACACACACACACACACACACACACACACACACCTGGACTACAGTGCCACTCGGAAAGATTTGAGCCCCATTCAGTATTTGGGATATTTACCATAGGAAATTCGCAAGAATCCCCAGGCAACCTTGTTCAAAAGATACATACTTTAGTAGAGCAGAATTGTCTGCAAGAGTAAAAACTATTGAAGGTATCTCAGTATATGCATTGATTACCACATCAGCCAGAACACCGCATTGTCAGGGTTTTTCCTAATGAAGAAGTCTACGTATTTGTATCGAATACACAAGCCTTTTCTGCACTTAACATCTTTTGAGTAGTGTTGGCTGGGGGAAAGAAGGCAAGAGTTATAAATATATCTGAATAAGACTATAAAATATACCTGAGCAGCACTGTAGTTCCAGTTGTCATTCATATGCCACAGTGACTCTTTATGGGTTCGGCAGCATACAGATCAATCAATCAGTCAGTCAATCAAAATGTTCTTCTGTAGAGTGCAATACAGAACATTGACACAAAAATCTGTATTAGTAGAAGTCTCCCAACTCAAATCTTCTACTTGACTCCTTTTGTTAGTCCTCCAACCAAGGCCTACATTCAAATTAGTGGTTTTGGATTATTCTTTAAGAAACTGAATCCTGACTTCTAGTTTGATCACCTCCAGTTTCTTATTTCTGTCTTGTGTAGAGGGACAAACAAGGCATCAGAGGTTACATATAATGCTAAACAAACTGCAGGCAGATTTCCTGTCTTGGTTAGCTACTGCTACTGACAGCATGAGCGATCAGCTGAGTAATCAAGCATTATGCCTCCGCATAATTTTAGCATGAGGATGAGCAGTAGATTGGATTTTATGATTAGTGGTAGCCTCGTATTACTGTTTCTGGCTCAAACTGAGGGTTTCTATTAGCAAAATATTTGCATTATTGCTAGGGTGAATTTTTGCATGAAGAATTTGTAGGAGTCCGCATAATGTTTTGCTTTTTTTTCGGGAAGCAAAAGTATAAATCCTGTATTATAAGGCAGATTAATCTTGAAGAACGAATGGAAAGTTGACAAAAGAAGATATTGTATGTATGATAAAATGATTAGGCCCAGAGCATGGAATGCTTTGTGTGAATATGAGTTTTAAATTTGGCTGCTAATGTGATAAGAGTGATTTAAAGGCAAAGCTTAGCTGAGAATGAAAATGCTTAAGAAATGGTTCAGCACAAAGAAAGAGTAAGACAAGGATTTGTCATGTCTCCTTGCTTTATGATGTATTTTTGTCAATGTATAAGCAATTGTTCTTGTGACATTAGAGATGTGTTGACTGCAGATATAAATGTACATGTACTTTTCCATGTAGCTTTTGCTACATTTTGTGGACTGACAATCTGAACGATTTGCAATGAATAATGAATCAATCAGAATCAAGTGATTTTATAGTTACGTGTATGTGTGCGTTATAGAAATGTGAGAAATTAGACTGTTATGATATACTTTGATAAAATGTTTACGAAGTATGGGGAAATAAAAGAAAGCCCTCTAAAATGGACAAATACTATTAGAAAGATAATAAGCAGTCTGTCGATCCCTAATAACGATTGCATTCTAGTTTTAATATAGAGCCGGTTACCAGTAATGGTTTGAGTTGTTTGGCCATCTATAGAGACAAAGAGTAAGGGTCAAATTGCAAAACCAATATATAAGGAAGAAGTTTGAAGTTTGAAGTTTTATTTCATTTGTATGCCGCCCTTTTCCCTGTAAGGGACTCAGGGCAGCTCACAACTCAAACAAGGGAAGGGGGGATACTGACCATTGACAACAACACAGAACAATACATAATTAAAAACGCAACAATCATACCATTCAAGATAGGGGCAACAATTCTTTACCCCAGGCCTGTCGGAACAGCTAGGTTTTAAGGGCTATGTGGAAGGCCTGGAGGGTGGTGAGGGTGCGAATCTCCACGGGGTGTTCGTTCCAGAGGGTCAGAGCAGCAACAGAGAAGGCTCTCCTCTG